GCCCAGGAGCATGGACGCTTTCCTCGTCTAGACAAAAAAGGGGCCCGGTTGGTACCAGCTGCAAGATGGTGGCCTCTAATGTGGTCCTTCCTCCATCGAAATCCATGGCAAACACCCACTGGAAAAAATAACCCCGCTGGCGGAAAAGATGCAGGAGCCGATAGCTTCTTGGGTCAAAGGAATTCGTAACTGTCCAAACGTTCATTGAAGAGTCTGGGCTAAATCCTCCGCCACTTCTCAGTTGTTTTCTGAGGATCACTCTCTCCCCACCTCCTGGGTATGGAAATCCACAGACTCCAGTGCCCCAGCTGGGGGTCTCTCTCTGGGTCCCTTGCCCCTTTAAATCCATTTCCAACTGAGCAGGAGATGAGCCGGGTAGGGGGCCAATCCGGGTAGGGGGCCAATCCACACAGCACAGCCTAGATCATATGTGATCGTTGCTGGATTAGAGAACAGCGCTGCAGCTTGAAATTGACGTGTGAGTGTTAACATCTCGGGTGTCCAGGCGGAAGGTTCATTTGAGTCTTGTAGGGAGCCGGGAAGATAAAGAAGGAGCTTTTAAATAATCATTTTGTCTCCTACTCACCAGAGCGCAGACGTCTAGCGATAACTAGGTGGCCTCAGCTCTGCCTAGACACGTTGGCCTTTTCATTTATTTATTTAGTGGTGTTACTCTACTTGGCTCGCCAAACAGGCCCCGTTGCTGCAAATCTCTGCACCTTCTCCCCCAGCTGATTTTTGGATTCCAACTCATTAAACATATGTCATTATTATGTAATAGTCAGATCATGTGTACCACTGCAAATATGCAGAGGTGGCTATAACAGAGCACAATGTCCGTGTTTCACGGTCTGCAGTAATAATACTAAGAACTCTTTGCTTTTACCTCTTTGGGTTTCAGCTTGTCTTTTGAGCTTTGTTGGGAAGAACAGGAGATTATTCGCCACCGTTGGCATGATCTTCATTTCTATCCCATCTCCTCTCTCTTATTCCTCCTCCTTAAGTCCAATCACTTGCCTTTTCTCTTGCTTAGGGTTAGGGAATCACCAACCCCAAATCAACCCACGTTTCATTGACAATACTTCACATCATCTGCCGCAACTTCCTTTCCCACCGTGTCTCCACCTCTGGAGATGTTTTGGTTTTCTCTCTTTTGTCATATGGCTTGTTTTGTGCATGCTAGTTATCGAATCTTTTTTTTGTAATTTTAGCAAGGCGTTTTTGCGGTAATATGTGTGTACGAGATTTGGGGCCTGGCCCAAATTTCTGGCTCTCAACTCTTCTGACTTCTTGTCTTTATTTTTTAAACTGGGATCCAGATGTAAATTTGGCATCTTCAACCCATCTCTAGCATGTAAATTAGCATGGCTAATTGGCAACTGTTTATCATTTTTTATTTTATTTTACTAACAAATTTACTTGCACGTCAGCCCTTTTAACAGACAAAATTTCAAATACAATAAGGCTGAAAACAACTTAAAAAAGGACTGGTGTCTAGAAAATTATGATTTCAAAGGCATTTTTTGGGAGGAGGGGGCTGAATCTCCTATTATTCATATTCATTCCCAGCTGACGCTTTTACTTAAAATTGGCTCCTATTAATAGTCATTGTCTCTTTCAGAAACTTATTCTAGATGAAGGAAAAAACGTGTTCCTTGTTATTTTCACTGCCCTATTGCGACTTCTTATTGACAGCCAATTTTAATTTTTTTTTTTAAACGGACAGTAAAACCATTTGCGGGTGATTGGCAGTGCAGATTACAGGGTTAGGAATAATGGGTGAGATTAATTTGAGACATAAGCAAGCATAACGCCGTTAAAATCAATGGATCCTCATAAAGCGAGGCCACGCGGTATGTATGTGTTGGCCCACGGGATTTTTGTGGAAATTCGGTGGACTGGATCCCCTTTTTTTAGCATCTAAAATTGCCGGTTTTCCCATTCTCCCCCTTTCCCCAAATATAGCTGCTTCCACTGGAGTTTTCAGGCTGCGTCGTACGTATTTCCCTGGCATTGCTCGGGTCCTTAATTTGAATAAGTTAATAAGTTTTGGTTTTCTTCATATGAATCATTGCTCTGGGGGATGAGGGGTTCAGTATTCAGACTGCCCTGGAGAGAGAGGCCAACCCCAGCCACACAGACACACAAACTCTGGGAAATACATAGTAGATTGCTGTCCTTTTCTCCACCCCTGCTGGCCCAATGGGGTTATAGCTGTCCCGGTCCCCACTTCTGGCCCTTTGCTGCCCCCCTGTGGTCATTCTGCAGTATAACTGTCCCTCCTACCTTTCCGTTTTATGAGAAACAATCATATTTCAGGCACATCCCATTGTTCTGGGAAAAAGCAAGGTGGGGGTTTGGTTAAGCTAGGATAAGAGGAAGATGCCTACCAAATTTGATGGTCCTAGCTCTTACCGCTTAGGAGGAGCGGACTCACACACAGACGGACGGACACATACACATTTCTAAAATATATAGCAAGAAGATTTTGCTACCCAACTGCCCACTCTTGAATGCATCTCTCTCATTCTGACTCTGACTCTCTCTCTCACACACACACACACATACACACACACACACACACAAAACACAATCTGGGGATCCACATTTGCCAAGGGAGCCCAGAGCATTGGAGTATCGGAGGCGGCGGGACGGAGGGGGTTGCTTTAATTTTTGTTTTTAATTTCAAAAAGCGAGAGAGTGAGTTCAGGAAAACTCTCCAAGCAAGAGCGCGACTTTGTATTTGTTTAGCCCATGAATTGAAGCTGCGAGAGTATTAGAAAATTCTCTCGTTGGCAAACAATTTGCGAGACTGTGAGTACTGCCGCTGTCTTTGCTGTGTACAGTTCAGCAAAGTCTGGAGAATGAAAAAAAGCCATTTCCAAATAACAAAACTTCTCTTATTAATACATTTAATTTGCCTGTTGTCTTCTATCAGAGGCGCTCCAAGTACTTGGTGCATATTAATTATGGCTTGTAAGGCTGCCTTTGAAAGGCAGGGAAACTGAGGCATGAGTAGTGTAAGGCCTTAATCCTGCAGAGAGCTTTGCACAAGGGTCTGCTTGTTCCAGGATGAAGGCTGAGGGCTTGATCCTGGTCACCTTGAGCTCAAAGGAGGTTTTCCCGTAGAGTTTGATGGAGTAGGAACAGTCGGGAAATGACTCCTGCCGGACCGTGTGGGGAATGTGTGCTAGAGCTAAGAACAGGAGCCAAGCTTTACACTGGCAGCCTTAGTCACCGATCCGCCTTCTCTTTGCGATGCATTTCAGCAAATCGTGGTGCAATCACATGCCTGTGACCTTTGTATCAGTCATAAAAAAAAAAGAGAGAGAGAGAAATGGGCATCTGCTTTGATTCTCTGCCCACGCAGCCAATCTTGTGCGTGCAACATCCGGTGTAGGCAGGTAACACCGGCTTGTGTTCATTGGGGTTTGCACCGTTGCCATTAGTGCTTCTAGTTAACCCTCTGGGCAGATCTGAGAACGAGGTTTTGCTGCTTTGTTGGTTTTTTTTTTCTTTCAAGAACAAAGAGCAGGCCGATCCTTCGGTCAGATTCTGGAGTCGGATACGATTCCAGAACCACGACAACGTGTTGAAATGAACCCTGGGGAAAAGCCCTGTGAAACTATAACCGAGTACTTGCTTGTGCGGGGAGCATCTAGCTGCCCCCTATAGCCATCTAGGGGGGTTTTGAGCTCACGATTACACATCTCCTGCTTTCCACCCTCAGGGGTTTTTCCCGAAGGGAAGAAAGAGACACGCACGTCGCCAAGAGTTCATATTCGCCGCATGATTATTTCCACGGTGAACGAGCTAATATTTGCGCAGCTGTTTGGAAATACAGAGCCGCGTTATTAATTAATCTCCTGATTTCCAGTTCTCTGTTTGCTTTGCAATATATAATGCCCTTTCAAAGACGAACACGGCGCCTCCTCTGCTTCCCCTTGTAACCGAGGAGCGTGTGTAAACAGTTTGCTGGTCGTGTGGAGCACGAATACCTGACTGTCCCCTGGCATTGGCCTCCCGTCTACCACAGCTCTCTGTGGGGCAGGGAGGGGCGGCTCTCTTCCCCTGTCTCTGTCCAGCGCGTGCGAGCCTTGGAAAGGCTGGGCACTGTGGGGGCCCTGGTATTTCCGCCACCAGTGGGACCTGAGGGCAGGGCTCCTGTCCCCCACACGTTGATCCGGTCCTTAGTGCTGAGGTCACTTGGCCGCTCCGAGCAGGGCTGGGGAAAGGGGCTGGGTGGGCAGTCCTGGTGGCAAGAGCCATCTCTTTCTCCACCCGGGGGCAGTAGCACCAGTGGGGGTTGCCACCCGCCCGGTTTTTGGCTTCTCTGTGGGTGCCCCGTCGGGTTGATTGCCAGGGGCCCGGTTTTCAGGGCCTTGGCAACCCCGAAATGGCACCCAAACCCAAAGCCAGTTAGGGCAGGGTAGGGCGAGGCACTGCGTCATTAAACCGGCATCAGCTCCGCCCAGCCGAAGCCCCTGCCAGGCTCTTTGAGACGACCCGGCAAGCAACAGGGGAAAGGAGTGGAGGAGTAAGCGGTAGGGGTGTGGTGTGGGTGGATGAGGCAGAGAAGGGGCGGGGCCTGATGGAAGGGGCGGGGCTTGACACAGTGGCGGTCTAGAGAGGGTCTAGTTGCCATCAGTTAGAAAGGTGCTCACTCTACTGCCTGCATCTCCCAGCGGGCCCCACTCAACTCTGGAGGGACCGGCAGGGAGGGCGAGAGCCGAGTCCACGGCCCATCCTCTCTGAGCCTGTCCGTCGAGTCTGTTATGTGGGGGCCAACCAGTGACCGCTGCACTGTGGGCTCCGCCCCCCGGGACCTGATCCAGGCCGGGGCAGACCCATGCGCTGGTGAGGCACTGCCAGCCGGGCTGGGTTTAACGGGTGAGCCAGAGGGGCAATAAGGCTTTGCTGTCAAGGGCTGGGTTGCCATTGAAATCAGGGCGCCAGACACCCAGCTAATCGTTCCCTCCCCACTCTGTCTCTTTTCACAGTCCTGAGTATCCGGGGAGCCCAGGAAGAGGAGCCCACGGACCCCCAGCTGATGCGGCTGGACAACATGCTGTTGGCGGAGGGCGTGGCCGGGCCCGAGAAAGGAGGGGGCTCGGCGGCAGCGGCGGCCGCAGCGGCCGCATCCGGAGGAGCTGGTTCAGACAATTCCGTGGAGCATTCTGACTACAGAGCTAAACTCTCGCAGATCCGACAGATCTACCACACGGAGCTGGAGAAATACGAACAGGTAACCGGCTCATTCGCGGCGGCTGGGCGGAGGCTCTCCCCTCTCCTGGCCAGAGCAAAGGCAGGGTTTAGATGAGCCTCTGACCCAGGAAATAAACCCGGGCGAGGAATAATCAGCCAGCCCGGCGGAGGGAGGCTAAGGCAACAGAAAATGGAGCCGATAAGAGAATCGGCACATTACCTACACACGGTTCTGTACGCTGAGCCTCTGTGGCTTTGTCAGCTGGAGCGCTAGTGACATCTATTGTCAAGGAGGCATGAGCGTAACTGTACCCGGTAGCTCAGAATTTCCTGAGACATCCACCGTTCTGGCTGAGATCTGTCTCAGGGAGCTGGTGAAAATTTCTGCACAAAAATGTTGGTTTTTTTTTTTTGTTCATCAGAAGAAAAACACAGTATTGTTTTAGCTGCAAAAACATGTTGCTGTCAACACGGGGGCGGGTTTGCGTTTTGCAACCTTTTCAGTGACGTGTGGTTTGAATCCAGGTTTGGTTTCCCAACGAGGGTCGGCCTTTGACTCCGAATCGTTCGAGAAATGCTTCCGTTACCAAAAAGCTCGTTTTCAGTATGAAAACCTGCCGTTTTACTTAAGGCTTTTGATTAAAATTGATAACGAATCCACTGAAAACGACCCTGGAAAAGTTGCGAAAAGAAGGCCATTTCAAACTCTCTTGACTTTTTTTTTTTTGGCAGACAGACTTTTCAGTCAGCTCTCAGGGCGGGTGTAGGGTTAGCCAAAAGAGGACTGTTTGGGTTTTACCCTTGACCAAAAATATTCATCTCTCTGAGGAGTAAAAGGAGAGAGAAAGGCTTGTACCAGTGGTTAGTGTCTTTGCTTGGGCTTCGGGAGGTCCCTGTTCCCTTAAAAACCCACCTAATGACTTGCCAGCCACACGGGAGGTTACCCATTTATCTGACGTCGACACTCACTCGTTCGCTGGTGCCTGGCTTCGTCCCCACCCCAACAGTTCCCTGTTCTGCAATGACTCACTGGTAGAGTGACCCTATTTCTCAAAGTGGAAACAGGACTCCACACAAAGTTGGCCCAAATGTTCCCTTCGCATGGGACTCGCTGCAGGATTTGTTTTTTCAGTGTAGATGTCCTCCGTGCCTCACTTTCCCACCTGTATATAGAATCATAGCGCTGGAATGGACCTCGAGAGGTCATCAAGTCCTGTCCCCCCCACCCATGGCAGGACCAAGCACCATCGAGACCGTCCCTGATGTCTCTCTAACCTGTTCTTAAATATCTCCAATCCCTAGACAATGGATTCCAGTGTTTCACCACCCTGACAGGCAGGAAGTTTTTCCTAATGTCCAACCTCAACCTCCCTCGCTGCAGTTTTAGCCCATTGCTTCTTGTCCTGTCCTCAGAAGTTGAGAACAATTTCTCTCCCTCCTCCTGGTAGGTCCTTGAAAGCCGCTGTTATACCCTCCCCCCATCTTTTCTTCTCCAAACTAAACAAGCCCAGTTCTTCCAGTCTTCCCTCATCCCTCATGTTCTCTGGACCTTTCATCATTCCTGTTGCTCTTCTCTGGACCCTCTCCAATTTCTCCACAACTTTCTTGAAATGTGGTGCCCAGAACTGGACACAAGACTCCAACTGAGGCCTAATCAGCGCAGAGTAGAGCGGCAGAATGACTTCTCGTGTCTTGCTCACAACACTCCTGTGAATGCAGCCCAGAATCATGTTGGCTTTTTTTGCTACAGTGTCCCACTGTTGACTCCTATTTAGCTTGTGGTCCACTCTGACCCCTAGATCCCTTTCTGCAGGACTCCTTCCTAGACCATCGCTTCCCATTGTGTATGTGTGAAACGGATTGTTCCTTCCTACGTGGAGCACTTTGCATTTGTCCTTATTAAACTTCATCCTGTTCACCTCAGACCATTTCTCTAGTTTGCCCAGATCATTTTGAATTAGGACCCTATCCTCCAAAGCACTTGCAACCCCTCCTAGCTTTGGATCGTCTGCACACTCAATAAGCGTCCTCAATATGCCATCATCTAAATCGCTGATGAAAATATTGAAGTAGCCCCAAAAGGGATCCATGCATAACTCCACTTGTTCTGCCCTTCCAGCGTGACCAATAACTGCTCTCTGAGAATGAAAACAACAACAAATAGTCCTGTAGCACCTTAGAGCAGTGGTCCCCAACCACTGGAGGTTGCCGGGCGCCAGGGGGCGTGGCCGTTCACCCACCGGGCGCCAGAGGGCGGAGACACTTGCGTGCCCGGGGCTGGCGCTCTCCCCTCCCCCCCAAGTGCCGCGTGCCTGGGGCCGGCGCTCCCCCCCAAGTGCTGCGTGCCTGGGGCCGGCACTCC